ATTTACTCCAGTCTTTCCATTATCGTATATATTATATAGATCGTGTTCATGTAAGATTTTAAAAAGAAGTTTGTATTTATTGTTTAATATGTCTCATATATTAGAGAAATATGCTGGACCTGAAGGGATTTGAACCCACGGCCCTTATTATTGAATTGACATGACTGCAGTGTTCTTCAGATCCAGAGTGTTCCGTGCAGAGTTGTTCTCACCAATTGAGCTTGTCAATCTATAGCAGATTTTCAATTTAATTAACGCTATTTAAGAAGTTATAAAGATTCAAGTATCTAATATTTGAAGTACCGTCCGTAGTTTACGTGAGAAGTACACATCTACAATATCCAAAGTATCCGAAACGTCGGGCCGTAGTTAAAATAAAATTGTAAACAAGTCAACTAATATATTTCATGTTTTAAGCCGTTAAAAGTTTTCTTTTAAATATTACAATAGATTATAATGAGGTTTTGTAAATGCAACTAAGTAGATTAAGTAGGGAGTAAAATAAAAACGTTGAATTGTCGTAACACTTAAACGGGTATAAATTAAATTGGATTTAAACGGAAACTTCCGAATTAAAGTAACGAATGAAATGAATAGTCAATATTGGAGTTTTGCCAAATTGTCCTGCGAAACGTCCCCCTTATAACGATAACAAGGATAATTATGTAAATTGCGCCGGTTTTACTCGTATTTATAATGAGCGCCATTCTACCTGATTGCCGCCCGTTGATCATAACAGTTCGCGTTTAATTTCTTCATTTATTTGAGTTATTGATAAATTAAATCTTGTATTTGTTCACGTTAAAATTTAAATCCAATTAGAGGACTCGGTAGCTCAGTTAGAGCAACAGCACAGAACGCTGACGATGCCGGTTCAAGTCCTGCCTGAGTCGTAATTTTTTTACACTTAGTTTTGATTTTTTTTATATAAATTAAAATCATGTGCAAAAATATTTAATATTTTTAAATGCAATTCACAATGTTCAATGCTTAGATTGGGCTCAATATTTAAACCACTAAATAAAAGCTGTCAAGTAAAATTTATAAGTTCGGACACAAAAATATGTTTACAATATATATTTGTGTGAACAACTACAGCTCTAAAGGTTATAGGTATTTCTAATGTATTTTTATCTTGAAATGATTAAAAAAAAGTCCGCTATACTATATGTATATCATTTTAACTGAAAAAGTTTAAACCTATAAAGATGCAGGTTTGCAAAAACAAATTTTGATGCCCGAAATATCTATTTTACGCAGGCACTGTCTCTGACAAAAAGTACTTAAATAAAAACACTTTCAACGGGTCAAAGTTAATTATCTTTTTCTAGTGAAGCATTCTGTCTTCTATTTGACTTTGCCTAAAATACCTCCCTTAGTAACCCAGTACTATCAGAGATGTCTGCAAGTGACAACACTATTTAGCGCAAACCGAACGCGGTACGTAGTAAGTGATCAAAACTAGTTTAGTTAATAGCCAAACAATATTACAAGCTTATAGAGTTATCTATTCGGATATGAAGACTCAGGTTCAGAGCTTCTTTAAAGTTTGCGAGTTCGCGTAGTATAAACTATTTCACGCTAAACCTTGAAATATTATTAAACTTGCGAGATAAACAACTTCTCGCAAGTCGTTACTAGATATTAGTAAATTTACGCCTTTAACGTTAAATACTGTCTGTAGTTTGCGTTAGTGCATTTCAAAAAACACTTAACGGTTTAAAACGCGATATATTTTAGTTAAACTGAGTTTAACTACGACCCGACGTTTCGGTTGCGTTGGACTAGCTGTGGCCACGGAGACCTTGTGGATTGGGACAAATCAATGGTACGTCCTTTCAGATCAAACTTTTACCAGTATTCTATGTCATTTTTGATAATACTTTTTTTTCTTTCAGGATTCGAACCTACAGATAGAGCTAGGTTAATAAATACCTAGCTCTCTTAATTAAACGAGATCCTCAATAATTTGAGGCATTAAAAATACATAAAATTATGAACATGTACCAATTAGATACTACAGACAGCTGTAGTTTACGCGAGTAATACCCATTTAAATAAGACAATTTAACGGTTTAAAATGAAAAATAAAAAAAATTATTTTCAAATAATTTAATATATAATACGCGTTTTAAACCGTAAAACTGTTGTAATTAAATAAATAGAAATTACTTAATATGAATAAATCACTTCTTAAAAACTAACAGAATTCAAAGCTGGAATATTTATTGACACTGACTGACGCTCCACTTCACGAAATCTGATAGGATATGCCTAAATAGGTCGTAGATCAGAACATAACCTCAAAATAAACACACGCCGTTTAGTGCCATTAGAGCATTAGTTAACTTTACCGGGCCATTCATCACATCAACAGGGTAAAGATAGAGTGTAACATTTTGTGTCGTGAGAAATATATCCCAGGTTCCGTTTCTTGGGCGTGGAACAAACGTTTCTGTGGTCTGATGCGCTATCGACCTATTTCTATACTGCACTCATGGTGAAAAGCCAAGAAGTTAAAGGTTCGTGACCCGGTTTAATTACGATGTTCGACCACTCATTTAATATCTATATTTCCATACGAAGTTCAACATGTATTAGAATAAGAACTTTAATATTTTTATACGCTATTGCACATAATTACACTATTTATTATGTTAGTTAAACTCATTCGAAAATTATTTTAACTACGGCCTGACGTTTCGGATGCTTTGCAGCAGCCGTGGTCACGGGGAGACTACATACAGTATTTAAGGATGGCACTATATAAATTGAAAAGAAAAATACAATTGAAAATTTACTTAATAAGCAAGTGTTAAGGTTGAAATTACATTGCCGAGAGGTGCATGTATCATTGAAAAAGTTCGACGATGACGTACAGGACTCGGCAACTCAATCGGTTAGAGCAACAGCACTGGCGTTGTGGATAACAGTTCATATTCTGTCCGATAAATGTATATGTATAAATTTAAAAAATAATTGAGTGTCTTATGAACGTCACAATATTAAAGTATCGAACTTTACATTTACTACCAGTTCTCAAATCAAGGCCGTACAACGAACGAGAAGAACTGGCAATAAACTCGCCGTCACTCCCTTTATCGCCAAGTTTAATTTTACATTCTTCGTGTACTTTTAATGTTTTAATTATATAACATAGGTACCATTAGACCAAATAGCCCGTCAGCTTGTAAGAGATCGTTTTTTTGTATTATTTCGAGTACCATCCTCCATCTTTGCTATACCCTGACCCCGGTAAACTCGAGCAGGCCATTCATCACACGCGGGCGAAATAAGCAGGTCGCTGATATCGGCAGTCACACGTCACGTTCACTCCATTATCGGACACTGAATTATCTGGTATTTGGACAAAAACTGAATTGGGTTCGTTACTGCTCGCCGTTTGAAGTAAAAACCTTTGTAGGATACGAAAAAGGACATATACGAACACGAAGATGCTTGCTTTATGTGGAACAAATCAATTTAGAGCGTTTAACGGTTTAAAAGGTTTATAAAAATATGATATATATATATATATATGTGGAACGTCGGGATGTACATAAAATAATTTCCAAATAAGTTTAACTAATATATATTGAATTTTAAACAATTAAAGTTTTTTATTCAAATAGTGTATAGTAGTGACATCCCGTTTCCCCCCCGTGGGGCATGGTGCGATTAAATTTCTGGGTCCGTTTTACTGATCGATTTCATTACAGGCCAGTAGTTGATCAGACTTCTGTGCCCTGTCCCACCGTAACAATTTATTGTATCCCCAGGTTCGAACCTGGGACCTCTCGTGCTGCAGGCACTGCTAGGCAACACGTTTAGCCATTTCGCTATATAAAACGCGAAACACATTAGTTCAATTATTCACAATTTGTTTGAGGTTATGGGCGCGATAAATAAAACTTTCAAATTCAATAAATGAGGGTAAACTGTTTGTTTTATGTGATAAAGGACGACAGACAAGTTCACTATTTGGAGATGAAAATGCCAATATCATTTCAAGATGCACTTAACACTAATTCCTGTATTGTTTGTTCGTTTGTAATATGCATACGTTTGAAAAGGCCTTTATGAATAATATAGATTTTTTTAATTTTTTTTCACTACTTATTGTAGATGGAGGCATTGTGTTCTCTATCTTTTTATTTTATCGATTATTATAATTAGTTTACACATTTTTCTTGTTTACACATCAAAATTCTGCATCTGTAATTGTCTTGTATAAATTGATAATCTAAATATCTATTTATTCTATTTTATTTCCTATCAAAAGTATATTTCGAAGTCAGTTTTTCTTCTACAAAGGTAGCAAGTTACAACTCGTTTTTTGATCGTTCGAGTTTTCCTAAATTTACTGCAAGGAAAAAGTATTTACAGCAACTATCAAAGGAATGAAATGAAAGCTTTGGGACGAAGATTTTCAATGTTCGTTGATTTCTGCTGGGCCACAAGACGAAAAAGACTGAATTATTATTATCGATGTTTTTTTCTCATCATTGTGAAGCCAGGGTCGTAAAAGAAAGTAATTTAAACCAGTACACACTCTATCCTTATAATAAGTATTAGTGAGAAGTATAACTTAGTGTTTATCGATTGAAAAGTTTAATATGTTTCACGTGATCGCATTATATAAATTAAAAATCGATTTATATATAATGTTTTAAAAGCTTCTCATTTGCAAAAGCCTCTTCAGCAAAAAGCATGTTCTTCGGAAATGTTTTGCAATAAGTGTGTATACTATTCTTAAAATTCGCTCGTTAGTAAACAAAGTTGTTTCTTAAATACAGTCTGTAGTTAACGCTAGTAGTACACATTTAAATTAAATACTTTAACGGTTTAAAACGCGACATATATCAGTTAAACTGGGTTGAAAATTATATTAACTACGGTCCGACGTTACGGATGCTTTGCAGCAGCCGTGGTCACGTGTTATATTTAAAGTAATTTCTTCTTCATGTCGCAATATGTCTCGCCGGTTTCTTGGCCCCATCCTAAACAGGTACACCGTCGTTCGACACAAAGTGACGTTTATGGGCCATCGCTCTCGCATAACGACCTGAATACAGCGAGCGGAGACGGGTTATTGATGTTTTATTTTTACTCAACATTCTACAGCCGATTTTAATGGACTCTTGACTCCACACCGGCGTAGAACGAGCTTTTGGTAATAGCTTCCTTGAGCAAATGATGAGGTATGATATTAGGATGTCGCGTTGGGAGCTTTTAACGCCAACTGCTACGTTGCGGGCGAAAAGTATAAAACTTATTTCTGAGATTTTGTTACTCAACATTTTCAATAGAGAGATTCTAATTCCATACATACTAAGTAAGACATCCGTTTATAAATATAATATGATAACGTTAATCTTCAAATAAAACACTTTAACGGTTTAAAACGCGATATATATTTGTTAAACTTAACTGCGAATAATTTTAACTAAGGCTCGACGTGATTTCGTTTTAAATTGTTAGTGTTTTATTTAAATGTGTAATACTCGCGTAAACTACAGACAGTGTTTGAACGTTAATCTTATTTTATATTTAGAAATATTAGTCCTAATAACACATCAATTTGTGGCATAGTATTAATATAGCGTTTGCTTTATGTAGAGCATGAGCCAAATACACATCTGTGTCTGTTTCATTAAAAATGTTAAATAATACTATCTGAAATATTTTGTGGTAAAACCTGGATATTAATTTGCAGTGCCTTTTTCAAAAACTATTAAAGAGCCAACATATGAAATTCGTCAAATCTGAAATCGCATCTAAAGAAATTGAAAGGAAATATAGAATTTTCGCAATATCAGCCTCGTACGTCCACCTGCTTGCCTGCAATCTTGATCCCTAGACCGGATTATTATCGACAGATCTGGTACGTCTAGGGTCCCATATTTTTGAGGCCCCATTTTTAAATGACCCTTTTTAATGTCTGACTCTGTAACCAAATGGTTAAACGCGTTCCTTAGCATTAGATTAAGCGTGACAGTTTTGATTTCGAATCCCGGGGTATAGTAGATTGTTTCGATCGGGCGGGGAACAGAAGTCTGATCAATTACTTACCTGTTAAAGTACCGGTAAGTGAAACCGACACAAAAATGTATTCGCCCCATACTCCACTGGGAGAAACAGGAGTTTACTTTTTTAATTTATGTATTGTACATAGTCTGTATATATACGATAAATAAAGTACATTATTATAATTATATTTTCATCATAAAGGTATGTATCAACATAAAATTACGTAATTTAACGTTGCTATATATTACTGTTTTACAGTAATGACAGTTACAATTGTAATTTGATTTGAAAAAAAGAACAGCTACCGCGCAGGCTTCAAAAGGGCACCCGGGCCAGTCCGCCCCTGTGTTTGGCGGCCAATTTTCAACTGCAAAATTTTTACAATTTCTCCCCATGTTGCTGAATGTTATATTTATTTATCGAGAAAGGTAAAAGTATTCGTTTGCAATTTGTTTGTGAACGTATTGAAGATTGCTATCAAGAGGCTGAACGTTTCAGAACTTCAAATGGAAAGAGGGACCGTATCGCTAATTTAAAAATTGCAAATGGAATTTTCCAAGTATTATATTATTTTATTTATAGCTTTGTGGCGAGACGTTTAATATTTTCTGGCGAGTGTGTCAGTGACCTTTCTACATTTCCGTTTCCTGCCTTGTCCAACTTCAATTACAAAACGACACGAACGTTCCGAAAAAGCAAAATATGGTATGGAAAACCGCTACATCTCTAAATAAATTATTCATTAAACTCAGCTTGCGTTTGGATACAATATAATAAATACCTCAAACTAAATCCGGAAAATATAGTTATGTTTCATATAATATTTGATAAAGGCCTAGTAATTTTGCATTAGCATAATTTAAAAAAAAAATATTCTTTTTTCACTAATTATTTACGACATTTTTACGTGCAGCTTGGGTGAATTGACAAAAACGTCACTCTATGAAATATGTATATAATAAGTCTATCGCAATGGAATTTTTCTGTAATGGTAGAATATGTTTATAATGAAATAAATAAATAAATAAAACCATTTTTCTCTTTTTTATGCTTGAGCAGGACAGAAAAGCATATTCGCTTGATTGAAGGAAAATGAAATTGAAATGATTTTCGGAAAACTACAGGCTGACGACGCTTTTAAACTTCACGGGTTTTCCATCTGTAAATGGTGGCTCGTGATCCGGACGATTTTTAATATTCATATCACCCATTTTAAATGGACAGATACATTACGCAAAGCTGATGATATAAAAAATCAAGTTTAAATGTTGTAACCACTTAAATAAAACACTTTAACGGTTTAAAACGCGATATATTAGTTAAAATTATTTGAAAATGATTTTTAACTTCGGCCCGACGTTTCAGATGCTTTGCAGCAGCCGTGGTCTCCCCGTGACCCTCGTAAAAATCATTTTCAAATAAGTTTAACTAATATATCGCGTTTTAAACCGTTAAAGTGTTTTATTTAAATGTGTACTACTCGCGTAAACTATAGACAGTGTTGTAACCATTTTAAAGATAGCTTTAATCTGTATACATTTAGTTAGAAATTATACAGCAATGATGAAAGAAAGTCGATAAAAATTTACATAAAAAAATTCTTAAGCAAATATATTATATACATATCGGGATTAAGATCATCGGTGTACGGGTTAATTTAAAGAACCCGGTGAGTAGAAAATATCGGATTCTCGTCAAGTGCGAAGTTACCGTGAGCGACGGAGCTTAATTACCTCCCTCAAACTTTTATAATTCAAAACTTGGAGCGAGTTTCGTTAATAATGGGACTCTTTATGTAATGATAAATTCAGTGGCGCAACTTCCGTCCGGACTTTCTTGGATTTAACTCTTCTCGACTAACGCCGAGTGTATTAAAAATATAGCTATTATTCACCCTTTTTGGGGCACCACAGGGTTTTTAATGAAATCGGCTGGTAAATTAGCTAACTATTTAAGTCTTTCCTAAGATTTTCTAAGACAAACTTAGTTAGAAATTCATGAGCAACTGTCATAAATTTTTGCAAAGAACATATAAATTAAAACACTTTTAACGGTTCAAAATGCGAAATGTATTAGTTAACTTATTTTTATTTTAATGTAGATAACTACCGCCCCACGTTTCTAGTGTTGTACAACAGCGGTGGTCACGGGGGATTGAAGATATTGTTCCTAATGTCAAAGCTAAAAACGCTTCGCAGATGGCATACATTAATACATTTCGTGTTCTAAACCGTTACAATTGTTTTATTTTAACGCAACTAATTGAATTCATAATTTTAATATCAAAGTTTACTCTGCCTCATTAAAACCTAGTCAAAACACTCAGCGATACATAACACGTTAAAAATAAAGTGCCTAAAGGTCGACTCGAAGATCTCTGCGAGAATAAACAGAATATAATTGGCCCTAATGTTTGTCTTGAGTGAAGAATCACTGCAGAATTATTGCTGTCAATTTGTTACACGTTTCAACGAGTTTGTTGAGAAAATATTAACATTGTCTGTTTGTTGAATGAGTGATGACTGAACGCGTTTCCGTTTAATTAAAAGCAAGTTCAAGTCAAGGTTTTCTCTGTTTTCTGCTACTCTGTTATTGTTCATTAAAGCCACTTTGTTTGTTTATGAGACTTCTCTCGAAACAATAATGGAATGATCTAACTGTATGGAGGAAATATTTGTTACTAAAGGGAACTTTAGTTACATTTTACACAAGGGAATATTACAATAACATCAACTGTCTGTAGTTTACGCGAGTAGTCCACACTTAAAAAAATGAGAAATTATATGCACAGCAATGGGACATAAGTGTGGAACGAGACCACGGTTATCTTGAAAGCTTTTTTAGCTAATAGGAACGCGCCATAAAAGAACTAAAGTCTGAAGTCGTCACAATTCGCCGAGTCAGCATGACGGGAGCGCGTCACTCGAACAGTAAAACAAAAGCACTTGCTGCGGCCCCACTGAGCTCTACGCGTTCGTTGTTCCCATTTCGTGTTGATGATCCATGATTTTGTGCTCTTTAGCGGCATGGGGTACCATCGAGTAGAACTTAAGAACGGCCAAGTGCGAGTTGTAGCTTTCTTAAAATTAAAGTAAAAATGTACTTCAATAAAGCAGTTAAAACGGTTTAAAGCGGTTAATATTATGAGTCATGGGGAGACCACAATTCCTACAATGCATCCCATCCGTCTGGCCTTCGTTAAAATAATTTTCAAATAAGTTTTACTAACATATTTCGCATTACCGTGAGTGTTTTATTTAAATGTGTACTGCTCGCGTTAAGTACAAACAAGAATTATTGTTGTTTTTTTTTATATATACATATCATAAAAATGCTACTGTAGCTAAATTTTTAAACGAACTCGCGCTAAACCCAATACTAGACGTATTGGGTTTAGCAGATGTCCTGTATTCGAATCTCGGTAAATTAATAATTTCTATCAAGTACGGCGCGGAAGTCTGATGAACTGCTGTGTTTGAAATTATTAGTGATATAGTGGGGTATTGTCTATTGAAACATCTGTAATATACTGAGTAGGTAGGAGGAACAGGAGAGGATACCTCTTCTGCGCGGACAAAGTCGCTGACATAGCTAGTTACATTGTACGATGTTGTCAAGTCTAAGTTGTTTGTCGTCTAGATTTAACTTTTAATATAGATAATTTCATGAGCGTAAGTGAAAATGTAATAAATAGTTATCTAAACGGCGCATCGTATAGCTATCTATTCAGTGCGATCCCTCCTTAATTGAGTGATATTCGTGTCCGGAGGTGGGCTCAAATAGCGGGTTATTAAGCCGAGATGTAATCTTAATTGTCTACTCTATATACCATTTGAGGCTAACGGGATTGTACTTAATTCCTTGACTGTTGCGGGAAATATTTATTGCAATACTAGCTGTGCCTGCGACTTCGTCCCCGTGGAATAGTGACTTGGGGTAGAATTTTTAATTATTTAGGCTGCTTATTAATTTATGTAAGGGCGCATTTAGGGCAGCCAATCTATGTTGTAAGTGCTACTTTGCCGCAACACTCTCACCTCACATCACTCCTGCTCTAACTCCCACTCTCATTCCTACACTCACTCCACTTCTATTCCCACGCCCACTCCCACTTCCATTTTCAAAAAGCCAAAGAAGAAAGTTTCATTGTTCTAGCTTCAAAAACCACGAATTTCTCTACAAACTTTAATCCCCCTTTTCAACCCCTATCAACCCTTATTTAGCATTAATAAGTATAATATGTCCTTGCCTATGTCCTTTCTCAGGCTCT